AAGCTCCTTTTTATTCACATGATATTGCAGCATCAAGGATAAAACATCTACTGCAATAATGAATAGGTATGGAGACAAAGGATCTCCCTGTCTCACTCCCCTTCCAGGAACAATCCTTGACACCTTCCTATTAGATATTAGCAGATCAAAAACAATTGAAGTCACACACTCCATAATCTAATCTATCTATTGTCTACAAAAGCCCATTTTTTGACATCACCTCCATCAGAAATTTCCAGTTCACTCGATCGTAGGCTTTACTTAGATCAATCTTCAAGGCTAACTCAGCTTTGACCCCTTCTTTTCTCCTTTTCAAATAATGAAACGCCTCATGCGTAATTACAACATTATCCTGAATTTGTCTACCAGCAATGAATGCTCTTTGTTGTTGAGAAATACAACAATTCATCAGCCTTCTCATTCTAGCAGTCAAGATTTTTGCTATAATCTTGTATGAAGCATTACACAGACCAATTGGACGAAAATGGTTAATAGTCTCTGGTCTTTCCTTTTTAGGAATAAAGACTATATTTGTTAAATTGAGTTTCCTCAAACTTGAATGCCCTTCAAAAAATTGATGCACCATGTTACACACTTCTTCCTTTACTTCCTCCTAAGATGATTGATAAAACAAAGCAGTGAAGCCATCTGGACCAGGTGCTTTTATGGCGCCAAGATCAAATACAGCCCTCTCAATCTCTTCCACAGAAACACCACTGACTAACAAATCATTATCCTCATTAGAAATCACAGGATTCACATACTTCAACATTACTTCAAGCTTTTCAGAGTCCTTGACAGAAAAAAGATAGCACAGTGTAATATTAAAAGAGTCATCTTTAGTTGGTGTTAGGAAGATAACTATGGATTCTGATCTTCTACTTTTGACAATATTATACACACACACACACATATAGTACAAATGCTAAGCATAACCAAAGCAGGTCAAAATCGTGCTTAGCTTAGCTACCAAGACCATTTTGTCTTCATACTGACTTGTCTAAAAATTTCATTAGTCATTACATATTTAATAAACTATTATCCCAGTTCAATCATTTGAGGAGATAATTTTAATTAATCAGTTTTCATTCCACTAAAGACTCGATCAATGAGATAAAATCTGATATAATTCACGAAAATCAGGACTAACAAGTCAGTGGGTGAATAAATCCAGCTCATTGACTTCATTTCCAGGTCTATTACTCAACCAGATTAATTAATTGATCACTTGCATTGAAAGCTAGCCATCTGATCACGACAAAAAATGTGATACTATTTCGATCTTATGACTGCACATAGCTAAGTTAATGGGAAAACTTTGACCATTTCTCACTTCTCAGACGACCACGATATTTCTAAACAACTCTCGAGAAAGCTAATTTTTGTAGCTGACCTTGTAATATAATCATTCATTCATATATGAAAGCGTGTGAAGTATTCATTGAATGTTTTCTGAAGTTGTTTATAAATATCTGGGTTTGAAAACTCCATCTTTAATTATTTTATTTGTATAAGCTCCAACAACAGTATTTCATTTCCTAGGTATGGAAAGCTTATCAGATTGGAATAATAAAACCCTTAGTTTTTAAATTTGTTTCAGTCGATTTAGTCCTCCAAATTAAATTTAATTTCTTTTATTAATATAATCCCTTACATTTTTTTAAAGTTATCACATTAGTTCTTTAAATTTTGAAGTACAAATTGGCCTCTTGACTTAATATGATATGTAAAGTATATTAATAATTAACTTCGACATGTATATTTGAATAGCCTTTAAATTAGTTTAATTTTATTAATCTAATCATTTATACTATCTTTCGTTTTTTTGTTGTAAAAAATTGAGTCTATTTTTCCTTTTTTAAAATGATTAAATTTCTTTTTATTAATCTATATGCTACCAAGTACCAGCTCAATATTTTGTTATGTTAAATTTCTTTTTATTAATCTATATGCTACCAAGTACCAACTCAATATTTTGTTATGTTAGTTACCTCTAGAAGTTTTACTATACCAACAAGTTTTTTTGTCTTGGCTTAAAAAATTAAATCATGGCAGAAAGAAATAGCCTGCAACACAGTATAATGCAAGGCAAAGGGCAGAAAATGGGTGAGAGGTCTCCATCAACTGAGTCTGTTAAAGTAAAAAATTAAAAAAAAGAAGAAGAAGAAGAAGAAGAAGAATAAATGATTCAACATTTCATCATGGATCACCTTCTTCTTTGTCTTCGCAAGTTTTTTTTTTTAATATAATTGAAATGGAGCAGGAGACAATTTTAAGTAAGGGGGAATCCCATGCTTTAAAAAAGGTAAAAATTGCACTGCAACTTCAATCAATTTTGTTATTGCACAAGTTCAAAGTTTCTTATTGTAATCTTTTTTAAGAATAAAAATACAATCTAGCTCTCGTGTAATTTAAAAATTTAAATTATGCATAACACAATGTCCATGCGTATCTAATTGATTAGCAAATTTAATAAAATGTACAAATGATGCATACTATATAGAACGCAATGTTCATGAATGTACAGCACAATATTCATGCATTCTCGACTAAATATTCATGTACACACATAGACATTATTTTAAAAATTTATGAACATTGTATTGTACATTTATGATATCGTATTGTGCATTCATAAATGTTATGTTGTATGTGCAAATAAATATAGTCAATATTGTGTTGTGTATTTATAAATACCGTGTTGTGCATTCATAAATATTGTGTTATATATAATTTGAGTTTTTAAATCATATAAAGGTAAAATTATACTTTCTCTTTCAAGAAAATTTGGAACGTGGATCCATGAGCATGCAGTATAATATCAAAATATATTGAGTTTGAAGTAATTTTTTTTAATTTTAGGGCCGGAAGTGCGATTTTTCCTTCTAGTAAAGTCAAGCAGCGGCCATTAGTGCCGAACGAAATCCCTCTTTTACAATACATTGAAGTGACCGATGGATCCTCTCTGAAAGGAGATTGTGCACAAAAATTTTGTCATCTCTTGCATCATCATTTTTGTTTTCGAAGTAACTATTAAATAATAATGATTTTGGAGACCGACTCTCCCTATAGGACGATGTCATTATTTCAATATTTAAATTTCCAGCTCATGCATTTTTGTAAATTGATTTAATTTTTGGGAGTGAATATTAGAAATATCGATGGAGAGGAGGCGCCGACAGCGCATAATGGAAGGTCACGTCATGGACGTCTCGGCCCCGTCTTGTAATTACTAATTTATTGACTTTTTATTAGAGATTGATTGATGGATGTCGCATGTGATTCATGCACACTTCGTGGCTTCATCATTTCATTCACTCGTTCCAATTCAATCAATCAAATCTTAAGCGCGTTGCTGAAATTGAAATGGAAATCCATCTTCTTCTTCTTCAATCAAGTCAATCTGAAGCTCCTTGCAATTGCTAGCCACTCTTATGGCTGACCAAGTCAATCCAACACAGATACCATTGGTCGCCCACTTCCCATTATTTTTCCTCTCTCCTCTTTCAATTTCTTCGTTAATTTACGCGTTTTTCTTTTATTCCTTGCCTCCCTAGCGCAAACGCGTAAAACTATAATACTCTTGAAGGTATTTTTAATTAAAATTTATACTTTAATAAAATAATTATTTACATTTAAATTAATTTTATATTTTTATATTTATTTTTATTAAACATTTTAAAGTAAATATAAAATCATTTATTAATGAAAATATTTTTTAAAAAAGTAATGATTACACCTCAAAAGTTTAAAAATATCTTACATTTTTTAATATTTAACTTTTTAAAAAATACTTTACTTTTTTTAATGGAAGAAGTATTACTTTTTCCATTTATTTTTTTTAATTTTATTCATAAATTACTTTCAATATATTTTAAAGTTAAAAAAATCTTAAATTGTATTAACTATATCTTAAAGTTTAATAAGTTTTTTCATCTATCTTCTAATAAGGACATAAATTTTTTTTTCTAAACGCATATAAAAGTAAAGATGAAGATAGAAAATATCATATAAATAAGATCAACATTAATATTATTTTTATACCCTATAAAGAAGATTAGAGGAGTAAATTGTAATATTCCTTTTGTTAAAAAATATTCCCTCCTATTTCTATTACAAGATACATTCTAAAAACATTTTTTGGCTGTTGATATAAAAAAGACATGCTATGAAAAATTAATTATGTTTTTCTAATTGAAAACTCAATAACTATAAGAGATAATGTAATATAAATTTAATGTTTTTATTTAAATCGGGATAAAATTAAAAGTTTATTCTATTTTTTTAATAAAGTTAATAATTGAACCAACTCTTCTTATTTTATAATAAAAATTAAAGGAAGCATGTGAGGTATTTTTAACTAACCAAATTATGCATCCCAATAAATTAATTAATTATTTTTAAATTAATATCATAATTTTATATTTATCCTTATTAAATAGAGTGTCTCAATTTAAAGTGAATGGATGGGTGGTTTTATATCTTGAGAATGGGTAGGATTGAGTAAATTATTTAACAAAAGATAAATCTCAAGGAGGGAATGATTAATTTTTTTAATAATAATAGAAACAACTATTTGGATTTAATTTTCAGTCTAGTCAAGTATCAAAATACTATCATTACCAAGTAAAAGAGGCCAAGTGGACATAACATCAGATTTCAGGTGGGATTTCTGCACTGTAACGAGAAGAAGAAGAAGAAAACTGCCTCGGTTTCCGATTATAAATGTATTAATATTTTCCATTTAGTGGCCTTTTTTTTTTTTTGGGCCAGCACTTAGTGGGCATTGTTTGGTAGAAAAGTGAAAAGGCCGGTGTATATATTCCTCACCCTGAGTTTATCTGAAGATTCTTTACATGCTTTATGAGGAAGCGCGGGGGATAAATAGATTAAAGAAAAAAGCATCTCTACACAGGCTCATCGGTAACTTTAGCTTTTCCTAGCATGAAATCAATTTCAGCTTTTTATGTTAACAAATAGTGAAAAAAGGGGAAGGAGTCAGCCGCAACGGACCCAACTCCTATGGACAAGATGGTAGACGAAGAGGCTGGGGAAAAGGAAGACTGAGTAAGGCTCTAGTTGTGGCCCATCAATTTTCTCTGATCTCATATGTGGTTAAAAGGTTGGGTAATGTGAATATCAAGAGATTTGCGGGGACCCTGAGTCCCCAATGCCGACAAAAAGGAGATGCCTATTCTTAGATGAAGAGTCTTCGAAGAAAGAAAGGAGTCAAAAATCCATAAAGAAGGCCACAAGAAGAAAGAGTGTTCATAGAATCAAACAAGAAGTTAGACAAAAGTACCAATTAGTAATGGCAAAATGGATATGGCTCCAACAAGTGGGGAAATCGAATTTCTAAAAAGCTGGTTCTGCTTGAATAGGAGTAAAGAAGTGGAGGTTAGAGGTCCAGATGCTGGAGGTTTGTGGTGGCTATCCTACAACAGCTACCCAAGGATCATGATTTGCTTTTCATGGAACTGTCAAGGACTAGGGGCGTCCTTGACAGTCAAAACCCTCAAGGAGGAGGTCAAGAAAAATAAGCCCCAAATCGTCTTCCTCATGGAGACAAAACAAAATCGCAGCTATCTAGAAAGGATTAGCAGAAGATGTGGGTTTGATGAGTACTGGTATGTAGATCCAGTGGGGCGGTCTGGAGGGCTAGCGTTGTGGTGGTGTGAAGGTATTTTTATCGACATCGTGAGTAGCTTTAAAGAATGTGATACATACTAAATTAACATCTAACATATGGGAAACTCTGACCTTGATCTCTTTTATTTACGGTCTGCCCATAGAAGTTGATAGGCAAAGGATTTGGAATCAGATAAGAATCATGGCTGGTTTGGTGAGCTCTACATGGCTATACATAGGAGATTTTAATGACCTCCTATCACAGACTGACAAGCTTAGAGGTAAAATCCACATGCCATACATAGAATCTATAATTTCTAACAATTTATCTCAGATTGTAATTCAATCAAATTAGAAGCGAAGGGGTCGCGCTATACATGGTGCAATCAGAGGGTTAGGGGTGCTCATATTAAAGAAAAGATTGACTGAGCTTTTATAATCTTGAATTCAAAGAAGCTTTTTCGAAAGTATTAGTTTTCCATGTGGAACCAATGGCATCAGATCATCACTTATTATTGGTCAACCTGTGTTATCAGGAATACAAAACTCCTAAACAATTCAAGTTTGAGGTAAATTGGGTAACTCATCCTGAAATACTGAATATTAAAAGTTATTCTGCTACTAATGATGAGCAGGTGACTGGGGTGCAAGATTTTATACGCTAGCTTGACAGGTGTAGGAAGAAATTAATAAAATGGAGCAGGAAAGTCTTTCCAAACAGTCAGAGGGTGATAGTTGACATTATTAATAAAATCAAAATTTTCAAGGAGGGGGTGCATACGGATGAGAGCAAGCAAAATATAGAAGCCCTCACAACTGAATCGGGAAGTTTTTGGAGACAAGAAATTTATTGGTGGCAAAGGTCAAGAAACAACTGGCTTAAGGCAAGGGATACGTATACAAAATTTTTTCATCGATCCACAATGATTGGGAGACAATGTAATTTGGTGGTAAAGCTAAAAATGCAAGTGGTGATTGGGTTGAAAAGGAGGAAGACATTACGGAGTTGGTTACAAACTTTTATTCAAATCTTTTCCAGTCTTGTGATCCCGCAAACATGGAAGAGGCCCTGGATTATATACACCCAAGGATTACAGATCAACAAAATCAATGGCTGACATTACCAATATCTGAATCTGAAATAAAGCAAGAAACCTTCCAGTTGGGGGCTTTTAAGGCCCCTCGTCTGGACGGCTTTAATGGTCATTTTTATCAGTTTGCATGGGATGAGGTAAAATGTAACATATTGCTCTTATCTATGGTTTCTTTGTGGATGGTTATAACATTACAGATCTCAATGAAACTAATCTCATTCTTATTCCAAAAGTGGACCATCTAGAATGAGCGTCTCAATATAGACCCATTAGCTTATGCAACTTTGCTTACAAGGTTATTGCCAAGATTCTTGCCAATAGACTAAGATTTGTCCTTGGGGAGTATGTTTCAGAGCACCAGCGTGCCTTTATGCTAATAGATTGATACAAGATAATATTATTATAGTTCATGAGGCTTTCCATTATCTTAAGCTTAAAAGGAAAAGCAACAAGTATGAGTTTGCTGTAAAGATGGACATGAATAAGGCTTATAACCGTTTAGAATGGGCCCCCTTGAAAGAGGTCTTGCTTAGATTGAATTTTTGTCATAAATGGATTGACTGGATTATGAGATGTATTTTCAGTGTGAGATTCAATGTACAACTTTGAGGGAAGAATATATCAAAAATTTCTCCTCAGAGGGGGCTGTGGCAAAGGGACCCACTTTCTCCTTATCTGTTTATCTTGGCATCAAAAGTTCTTTCAAGCATGTTATCAACCCACGCAGCTATTAGAGATCTATAAGGCATAATCATTACTAGACAAAGCCCGATGTTGACGCATTGTCTTTTTGCAGATGACACCATAATTTTTATGAATGCAAAGCTCTCAAATTGTAGGGTGTTGAAAAATATCCTCAATGTTTATTGTAACGCTTCTGGCTTACAAATAAACCTTGAAAAATCAAACCTATTCTTCTCAGCCAATACACCAGATGACATTAAGGAACGTGTAGCTACTTTTTTAAATATCCCAGAAGTTGACAATTCAGGTAAATACCTAGGACCACCCATTCTGTGGGGGAGATTGAAGGATGCAGCATTGGCATATGTCTAGGACAAGGTAAGGAAGAAGATTCAAGGGTGGAAGCAGAAACTTCTCTCGCACGCAGGCCGGGAGGTAATGATTAAATCTGTTGTGAATGCTATCCCCATTTTTTCTATGTCCTGCTTCAAATTCCCTAAGAAAACTTGTATTTCTCTAGACAGATTAGTCTCTAATTTCTACTGGGGTAATTCAACGAACTTTGGTAAAATTTATTGGAGAGCATGGAGTGTGATGACTGGGCCAAAAGACACAGGTGACACGGGTTTTAAGGATTTCATGGGCTTTAATGACACTCTCTTGGCAAAAATAGCTTGGCAAATCCTGCAATATCCAGACAGTCTATGGGTTAGGCTTTTGAAAAGTGCAAACACGTCATTTATGAATGCGGTGAAAGGACATAAGGCAACTTGGGTATGGGATAGCATCTTAATGGGTCATGATTTTTTGAAAAAGCACTTTGCTGGCAAGTGGGCAGTGGTCACTTTATCTAGGCCTGGAAGGACCCATGGATCCCTAGGGCTGAGAATTACATGCTAAAGGCTAAGGAACATGTGGCAGTTGATGAGTTGAGTGTTGTTGAGCTTATTAGTGACAGGAAATGGAACCTGCAGGGAATTTGCAATGATATTGAACCTCTTATGTTGAGGTTGATTAACGACATCCCCCTAGCTGATACAAGGAAAAGGGACAAATTGATCTGGGCAGCGGCAAAATATGGACAATATAATGTCAAACTAGGTTACAGGTGTGCAAATTCTATTTTGCACATGAACAACTCAATTGGCCTTGATGATAGAATCTGGAAATCCCTGTGGAACCTGAAGGTTATGCCAAAAATAAAACATTTCATTTGGAGAATTTTAAATCGTGCTTTAGCATCGAGGGAAGCTCCTTTTAACAAAAAATGTTCCCCTGACTTTGTGTGCCAAATATGTGGAGAGGAGGTTGAGACACTCGAGCATATATCCCTGCTCTGTAGATAGGTTAGGGCAGCTTGGTTTGGTTGTCCTTTGGGAATAGTGATCAATCCTTTGGCTATTCATAGTGTTGCTGAGTGACTTAGTGGTTGGTTTTTGTTTAATCCAAATGCAAGTAATTATTTGAAAGCTTACATTGCCAATCTGTGCTGGTTTATATGGAAGGAACGATGTGGTAGCGTCTTTTAGCATGTAGTGCCATCACCATCCAAGGTAATTGAGCTTGCTACTGGATATACTCAGGAATATTTGGTTAGTTAACAAGGTTGATCATATCAATAGTCACTCCACGAGGCCTGAACCACTTCTTTTTTGGGAAAAACCTGATATAGGCTGCATAAAGATAAACTGTGACGGAGCTTTTGAAGCAAGATGTAGACGAGCAGGCATTGGAATTATTTGTAGAAACTCTGAAGGCCAATTTTTAAAGGGTTGGGCAGAGCAAGTTTATGCTGATTTTGCTTGCCTTACGGAACTGTTAGCTATGAAAAGGGCGCTTAATCTATGTGACCACTGGGGGAATTCCCAGGTGATTATTGAAACTCATTGTGCCGAGGTTTTTAAAGCAATTCAGTGGACAAACCTTAGTTATTGCCCTTGGAAATACCACGAGATTCTCGCTGATGTGTTTGACATGCTGACTGACAGAAGAATGGTTTCTTTTTCTCTTATTTCTCAAAAGAGAAATGCTGCTGCCGGTTGTTTGGCTGCCTTAGCTTTAAGGGAGATGGGACCTAATGGTCTGGTTCTTGCACCACCAACTCCTTTAGCATCTATCATTCTTTGAGAAGCAGGAGGTGACGACACCGAGGTGATGATTGACCATCGTTTCCAGGAAGGGGACAGAGATGGCATTGGTTAATGGCTCGATCCATTGGTTTTTGTATTTGTATTGCTATTTTTCTGCATGTTAGACTGGATATTTATTGTTTTTGTTCGAACCTTTTCCTTTAATGAATGCATCTATTGCTGGTTAAAAAAAAAAAAAGAGTATAAGGGTTTTCATTGCTTTTAATTAAATAAAATCGACAGTTTAAATGTTATAAAAAACAACTTAACGAGTTTTTTTAAATGAAGTCTGATGGTGCATATACAAATTTGATTAATTAATAGTGATCGATATCAACGATCAAATATAGGAAGATTTTAATTATAAGCTCTCTCTCTCTCTCTCTCTCTCTCTCACACACACACACACAATGAAGGGGGTGTGACATTAAAAGGCCAAAATATCAAACTAAATTTAAATAAAAATTAAAATATTTGGAAATTTAAGAATCAAAGGTCCTTTGATAAATTTGTCTAAATTTATTATTCTCATTTCGTTATTTGTAACTCCCAAAAAAAAAATTACAAGTTAGAGTATGTATTTGCAAAGGTAAATCTTATCAACCATATTATTTAAAAATTATTTGTCTTCACAAGTTAGACTATTTTACTTGCAAATTGTGTTTTTGGGAGTTGCAAATTACTAAAAGTGATAATATATTTGATGAGTTTTTTTAATTTACAAATTATCGAATTTCACTTGCAAAATCTTATTTTGCTAGTGGCAAATTATAGAATGAGAGTAACAAATTTTTTGACCAATTTACTACAAGATCTTTGGTTCTTATTTTAAAATTTCAAATATATATTCTAGTCCTTAGTCATGTTTAATTCAATCTTTTGATCCCTTATGATCATTCCCCTCTAATGAATCTTTATATGATTTGAATAAATAATTATATAAACATAGAAGACTCTAATTTAATATAAGATACCCTCCATTATTCAAATGCTACTGTTGCACTCTTAATTTGTAATATATCATTCGTCTACAAAAAATTTAGGCCACAAGTTAATTAAAAACAGTACGTTTTTATTTAATTAATCAATGCATCAACTTTTTTAACATGCATGGTATAATATAAAATGGGTTGTGTGTAATCACCCTTTTTTTATTAAAAAAAAAATTCAGTACCCAACACCAAAAGAAATTGAAAGAGACAATTAAACAATTCCAAGTAGGGGTTGGGACCAATAATGAATCTTTTATTTTATTTTAAAAAAATGGTACAAAGTGGCGTATGAGTTCATAAAGTCGATCATGCATCTTCAATTTTTCCACTATGCTTTATTTGATTCCGTATGCTAATATATCTGTTCCTGATTAGTTCCTC